CATTACATGTGGTTGTGGAGTGGTTGCAGTGTGTGCTGCCCTATTCAACTGAATGGGTTGCATTTGGTACTAACGCAAAGTGTGGTATAAATTTTGCCAAGCCACACCGCAACCATGGAAGTGTGTAATAACTGCTAGTCATTGCTTTACTAAATAGAAACTGGTGATTTCAAAACTGCCAAACCACTAATATTCTAGAGCTGTTTACTCATCAAAAAGTGGAAATCATGTAAAACGTTAGCTATACAGCACTATGATTAATATCTGTCAATTCAGCTTTAAATGGAATCTCCCTGCAGTAAGACAATGATTTTTTTTCAGTTGTACATAGCAAAAAAGTAGTATGATAATAAAAGAACTGGCAGTATACCAGTAGATCCATATAACTTGTATGACCCTATGCTGCCCTTACACAGCAATTTGCAGGCAAATGTAATCATTTCAGCCACATTTTAATTACAGAAGGCGCCAAATGGATCATGGCGTGTCATTTCAGTTTATCAGTAGCTGTTGGTGTAGACTGAGTTATTGAAAGATACTGTAAGAATAATTAATCTGATTTCTTTAAGCAGCATGCCCCCTTTCCTCCACATTTTTAAAAAAAAGTTCCCAACACAATCAGGGTAGCTGATCATACCAAGCACTGATAAGAAAATGTTTCAGTTTTTACTACATTATAGAAGTGACATTTTACACTAAAACAAGGATATGATTATACAAAGGCACACTTATTATACTTCCTTATTAATTCTGGGCACAACACGGTGATTGCCTGGTAGCTGACATTACTAATCTATATTTACATTTTAATAAACTCTACTTTTAGGTGTTTACACCTTATACATATTATCTATCATGTATTCAGTAGTCATTTATCATATTAAAACTGAACTCCAGTCAGATATTAAGGCACAAATGATTGCAGCTCTGTATTCATTAATACATCATTAAATGTATTTTAAGTGCAAGCGGCGTAAGTACCTGAACATGGCTTTGTATCAGCTTCTTGCAGTCCCTGTACAGCAGAGCTTAGGAAGGAGCTAAGGAAGTGTGTAGGAATGCAAGAAGTATGCTGAGGAACAAGAGGAATAACAGAGAAATGAACTCATTAGTGTTCTACTTCTCCCTTTACTGTCCAGTCACAAAGTGGGGACCTGTAAGTGAAAGTAAAACTGCAGCTGAGAAATCTCATGTCCCCTCACTACCAGAGAGGGCTGCACTGTGGGGCAGAGCTACGTAATCCCAGGACTGGCTGGACAAAAAACGGCTCTCACATACAGTATGTGTATAATGGTGGGTAAAACCCCTCTCGTATATGTATTTCAGCCATGAATTTAACTGTTGGCCTGGAGTTCTGTTTTAATGAACCATGGTTATGGGAAAACTAGAGCATTCTGGTTGTTGTATGTATTGGTGAAGCTTCGTATATTTCACAACCGCTTGCACTACCTAGAGACATGTTAATTCACATACATTGTCCTGATTTTGCTTTGTATGGCCTGAGATATTAAAATGGGGTTAATTGTATCTCATACACTTGACATAGCGACTGCATGGTGCTTGGACCTGCCTGCACAATCCAACCACCAAAGAATCCTTTCTTTTCCCACATAGACATGACCTCTTGTATAACACTTGGCCATATATCTATGCACCCTTGGTACCAGCATTACCACTAGAGAACATCAATTATGGGAGTGAAACCCACACATGGCATACAGTGACATTCCTACCAAGAGGCTAGCTTGCAGTTGCATGAAGACGGGTTCTCCCCCTGGTTCATGACCCCTTAGCTTTTTGCTGATAGTAGGCACCCTTTAAAAATAGCACAGGGATGGAGACTCTAGATCCCACCACTGTGTTCTCAGTTGTACAAAGAGAGAAAAGCTGCATTTAAGAGAGGGTAAGGCATAGCATCTGTGTGTTGGGAGTTAAGGATGTCAATGCTTTCCATTATAATAAGAGCAGCTTCCAGTGAAGATAATTTATTATTTATGGGCACCTTAAAGTTAACTCCAAGAGTTATATTCACTAATGTGGTACGCAGTCCAAAATGGCACTTGATGGCAATATATGCAAAAAAACATGATTTAAAAATTTTACAGCATTTATTAACATGGTCATCATTTTTTCTTCTTACACTAAAACAAAATACAGAAAAATAACATTGGAAGCAGCTACAGACATATACTGCAATTCATGTATTTGCATTACAGTGTTGCTTGCAGCAATATTAACCCCAAGATTCCATAAACAAGGGAACACCAATCATTTATTTATTAAGTGGACTCAGCATCCACTGTGTAGGGTATGTTCAAATTAAGTGCTTGGGCAGTCTTGCCCCAACACAAGACAAGGCAAAATGCTTTGCTCCCTGTGAAGCCTGTTCACACTAGAGCATTGCAGTGGTTTGTGCTGAAAAAATGTACTGCATGCAGTACTTTTTTTTTTTCATTGCAGCATGGTGTGACACAATCTAATGCATCGCACCGCACTGCAGCCATTTAACCTGAATCTAATGTCAGGTTTTGCACGTTGGCACTGGTTTCTAGCCTACATATTTACTGTTTGAATAAATATTCTAGGCAACAGATATAAGAAGCACTTACATATGACCTCACATGAAATAATGTCTGAATGTATTCCGATACACCCAGTCTTTACTCATCAATGTTTGTGATTCTAAAATATATATATAACACATTTATTTTTTGTATTTTCTGTGACTGGGAATATTTATATGAAAATTCAGAAAACTGGAGCCTAAGTCATACTCTTAATTCACTAAGTGTAAGTTAAGTCATTGAAGATGCAATCTTTCTGTATAACTTCCCTTCAAGCTTTTTACATGTTTGAGAAAAATATTATTTTTCTGAAGTGCATAAACCTTGAAGAAGGGATCTAAAGCATCCTAGAAGCATGCATCTTTATTAACTTAAGTGAGCCAATAAATAGTGTCCCTTCCCTCCAAACTTTTTCAATTAATGGATGGCTAACACAGTACAATATTCTTCGACTACAAAATGTTTCTAAATAAGAGCATATGCCATAGAAACAAGGTCTTAGCAACCAACCAGTCTACAACTGTCATTCTGATATCACACGTTTAAAAATCAAACCTCTTCTGATTGGCTGGTTGATCAATGTCTCTAAGCCAAGTTATGTGTATGTAGAGAGTCTACACATTTGAGATTTTTCTGTAAGAGTTTCCTTATACCATACTTATATAAATTCATTAGGAAGTTAGAATCACAGCACAGATATGGTCACAAAACAGACATTTTCTCAATATGTTTAATAAAATCTTTACAAGGAATAATGTAAAGGGATTTTACTCCTAACAGGTATCAACTAAAATAAATCACAGAGACAATACAAAGATAAACTTAAACAAGGAGGACACTGGTGAACTGTAATATTATGTTGAACTCACAGCCCTGGTTCACATATGTGCGGGTGGTGCCGCTGCGGATCCACACGAAAATCCATGCAGCCGCACTACCCGCACAGAGGAATGCGGACCCACGGGCCATTAGTACTAATGGCACGCTGCCCGCACTGGAAAACACAACCGTATTAGGAACCGAGGCTGCATTTTCAGAAGAAGTGCAGGGACTTCTTCCCTACGTGTCATGGTGTACGGGAGTCCATTCAAATGAATGGGCTCTCGTGCCCGCACAAACTGCAGCCCAAACAGCCGCATATATGTGAACCAGGGATGATAATATTACTTCCTGCAGTCATCCATCCAACCTGCCATCCATGTGCCAGCTTTGCAGAATTTGTCATTTCAACATTTTAAAGCAAAACACCATACCGGTCTACCTATCTTATCAAGACTGATGCTAGGAGGATTCTGGGTGATGTTCCATTCAGAAACGAGCAATCTGCATTACTAAGGTGACAGCTAACAAATTCAGCCCTTGTTAAATGTTAATGGGCAGCGGCAAACAATGCCAGATGCCCTCAGCCAACACAGCTGGAAATAAATAGTGATCCATCTAGCTGAAATGATCACTATTTTTTATCCTTTGTAAGCTGGTACATAGGGGGTCAGGAGGACTTTCCGATCCTACCTGCATAGCATACACCTGCATTGATGTGTATTTACAGAGCTACCAGCAGACAGTGCCACCTAAAGGTAGATAGATTGTGCCTGCACATTCAGCTGTCCTCTAAAGGTCTGCAGCCAGCATTAACAGGCAAAAATAGTTTTACCATGGTAATTATTCAACATTTGTACTTTTCTAGACCTTTTGTTGAGCTTGTTTATCCCAAGGGTAGTAGAGCTAGAACACGGCTCCCCAACATTCTAAGGTGGACAAACATATATGTGACTCTGTTTTGGAACACTAATTATAATAAATACTAATTATTAATAAATAGGAGTAAAATATGGAAGATTTGTTGCACTTTGTTGTTTTAGGTTTACATACAATTCTAATTTATTTTTAGCTGTTTTTCAGTTTTTTGTTCTCATATTTTCTTCTGACACATTCAGGTTAGTGGTTTATATTCTGACATAAGTACGGAGTATCCTTGGCGTTGTAAGTGTCAGTAATTTACCCCATTTTTGATGCAAATGTTTCTGGGCTACTTTGTTTTTGTGTATGTATCTGCTGCAGAAAATATGTCTGATGTCTTAGAAGCAGAGGTAGGACAAACTGAACACTGTTGTAGAAGACCAAGCATGCAATACCAGCCAAGACATGCTAAAGTCCAATATTAGCGGCAAAGTTACAATTTGCAAACTTCTGCTCTAAAGGAACATTTATGAACCTTAGAGGTTCAACTAAAAAAAAGACTTCCAGTTCTGATCATAACAAAATATGACCTCTTTTTATAACACACAACTACCAGTTGCTTTGTGTTGTGTTCTTTACCCACGACAGGTTGCTAGAAAAGAAAGCTGTTGTGCCTTCATTTGTAAACCCCTAAAAAAAACATCGCCAATTCTTCTAAGCACCTCATTGATGATCTTGCCTCTGTCTTGATGATGCTTACGATCTGTTAGAGTGCCTCATGTAGTGAATCAGAGAGAGATCTATTACTCTTTCAATAAGAGCCTCTTCCACTATGTTTATATCCTGTGAGAAAAAAACAGGACATCCAGTGAGAATACAGAACAATAATACAGGCACATACAATGTAACAAATCATTAAAATGAAATGATACAGTACAGTATATTAGTTAATGAACACTTTTAGCTTGTTTAAATGTCAGTTGCATTTGTTTTCATTAGCTAATCAAAACTGACCTGTATTATACTTATACCCTTTGATCCATTTTGATTGATCTTTCTTACTGTACTAATAGATGTTAAATGATGCATTTAAATACCATCCCTGAAGAAATCATTGCTCATGATTTAGGGTAAGTTCACACAGGTGGGCAAGGAGCAGTACAGATGGCTGATCACAATTTTACTGCCTCCTGCCCACCTACCCACAACTTATAAGGCAACCACTCAGGTCCACTCACATTCGCAGATCTGAGAAGCTTTACAGTGTGGCAAATTTCCCTTGGCATGCTGTGTTCAGTAGACAATACACCTGCCATGTGAACCCATTAAATGCAATGAGACTGCAGTATCACCTCCTGATTACCTGCAAACTGCCATTCAGCTGCCTTTGAACAGCAATCTACCAGAGATTGCTTTTCTGAATGACAGTAAAGTCTGCCACCTGTGTTTGGCACCAGTCACTTGATTAAATGCCAAGGCATTGGACATATGGTCTCAGGAGATTGGGGAACTGATGTGCCAACAGACCTGACCAGTTGGTAGCTCAGTCATGTTTCTACCTTTGGATGAGATTACATATTCAATATGGAAGCATTTTATTATGTTACTGAAGTGGAGAGCAGTGGTTTCCCTAGGAAAGATAATTATCTAAACCCAAGATCAAAAAAGTGATATATTGTGGCATCTCAGTACAAGGAAATAGTTGTTACATCCATTTTCACTTTTCAGACTAACATTTTGGAAAGTCCAGAAAATATCAGATGATCTTGCCAAAAATGCAAAAGTCTTTGATATGAACTGGAAGTGAAAACAATTATCTTTCTTGTGCAACCCATCACCCCCATCCCCCAACATCATGCAGATGAACAAGGGCTGGTCTCATTTCGGCATCCTTTTTTTGGTTGTGATACGTTCTCCCTGTCTGTCCACCAGCAAGGTGATTACTGTGGCTAGTCTCTGGGTGGAGACCAAACCAATTTTAAATCAGCAAAACCTGCAGTCTTGTGCTTGTGATATTGTGTTTAACACATGCTTTAAGCCTGTTTATCTACCCTGACTATTCTAAACCTTGCCTACCTTGTACCTGGACTGACATTGAACCACCCTGCCTGTCTGCCAACCACAAGTACCTGATTGCTGTGCTCAGTTAGCGCCTGAACGGTAGACAGGCACTATAGTATTGTGTATAAGACCAGCAAAAGCAGGAACACAGAAACCAGCTATACTGTCTGACCACCTGTATTAGGGGTAAGTGTGACAGGCAGTCATGTTAGAAGTCCAGCCTCAGTGACAGCAATTGCTCCTTCTATAAATACAGTGGAGGAGGACACCATAGTCAGGAATAGGTAGTGTAATAACAGGATTATCAGGTTAAAATACAGATACAAAAAGTCTCGAAAAAAAGATGATGCAGCCATCTCATCTATGGAAGTCTAAGCTGCAATATATAATAATTGAAAGACAGTTCAAAGTGAACTACAGACAAAATGCTATATTGTATAGTAATATCTGCATCCTTTATGTTTGCGGTTCTCAGATTACCTGCTACCCAAACCACAGTAGGGAGATTTTTAATGCCAGACCATCTCTATTTTTTTCTTTCTTTCATGTTATTGCTTTGTAACTTTTTTTTTAACTAAAATTTCAATGTATCATCTGTGCTCAGTTGCCCATATACATTAGAGGCACCTATGGCATCAGCAGACATCGCCAAACACCAGAAGAAGCTTGTAAGGAAGAAAAATGATTGGACAGGCTGGAAAACCATGTCTCATTGCTATTGTTTTCCTGCTGATAAGCCACCACCTAAGTGTTTTTAAATTGTCTTCCCCACCTCTCTCCATATGAAAGTGGTTGTAGAATGCATCTGATTGATATTGAAATTTAACAAATCATTATCATGCATAGCAACCACAGAGTCTAGAGGGATACATAGCTCTCTGTTGGAACATTCTATATTAATATTTCAAAGTAATATCACAATTTATTTATTGAAAAATAAGTTAAAACTCATTTACTACTCACTATGTAATTTTCAAAGTACATTGAGTGTCTGGCATAAAGATGCTTTAAAAAACTTGAATCATAGCTGGAATCCCCTCCTGGCACCAGGTGACAAACTGGACATACCTAAGAGAAAACAAATGATAATTGGTAAAGTTACAATGGCATGCATGACCCCAAGTTGTATTGACCACATGCTTCAAGTGATTGTAAAGTCTAATTTTTTAATTAAAATTACAAACATGTTATTAGGGCTGCAACTCACAGATATTTTCATAATCGGATAGTTGGCCGATTGTTGTTTCGATTAATCAGATAAAAACCTTTTTGTATAATTTAATTAATCTGTAGTTTAAAAACCTTTTTGTATAATTTAATTAATCTGTAGTTTAAAAAAAAGACAATTTATTCTTGAATATCTATATGCAGTGGTAAATATAAATAGCTTATATGGTTAGGGAACAAACTTTTAACCCCCTCTCAGAATAACAGAATATATCTCATGCTATAATCCCTATTGCAAAATGGGGGCACATAGACTTCCAGTTTACGGCTTGACGTCATCGGCGTACTCCATGGGTATGCCGATGACGTCAAGCCATAAACCGGAAGTCTATGTGCCGCCATTTTGCAATAGGGATTACAGCATGAATTCAACTTGGAGCACTGTATAGTGAGTTAGGAGGACACATTTTAATGTGAGTGGATATATATATTCTTAATAAAGGATATCTTTAGTTGTACATACTACACTATATTCAGTATTTTTTTACATGATTGCGGAGTGGATTGAATCAATACAAAAGTGCTGGCAAAGAGTTAACAAAGAGCGGGAAGACTTTGTACCATTATACCTGCCTGGGTTAAAAGGGAAAAGTTCAGTTTGACCTGTTATTATGGGTCAAACTTTGAGGTGAGAGCATAAGTGTGTTGGCGGTGTTAGAGCACTAAGGGGTGATACAGGAGAACCGTACACTTGTATGCCGTGGTGTGACTACGCTGGTCTACACGAAGTTATTGTGGAATAACAAGGGACTATTCAATACGATTTATGTTGTATAAAGTTGCACGATTTATGTTGTAAAAATAACACAAAGCACTGTGGATGTTACAGATTATATGTGGGTCTATATATATCCATTGGAATATATGACCAGGAAGTATATATTGGATTACTAAGTACTCACAAGCACGGAGGAGTATTGTTTACTGTCAATGTATATCAATATGCATTCAGCAGGTTCAAGGTTCACAGTTGATATAAAAGCATCATTGTGTTTATTTATTTTGTTGCGCTGCATTTTTCACTATTTACAAATTCAACATAGTCAACAGGACAGCCAGGCAAATTATATTTTGAAGAAAAAAAAAATCACCAATGACAGCTCCCATCTACAAAGGAAAGGTTTCCGCTAAAGCACTGATCAAGTGCGTTCGCTATACACTATGGGGTAAATTACTAAAACTGGAGCACTCAGAATCCGTTGTAGCTGTGCATGGTAGCCTACCAGCTTCTAACTTCAGCTTGTTCAGTTAAACTTTGCATGCTACAGTTTTAGTAAATAACCCCATATGACTCTTTAAAATAAAATTCCAGAAGCTCATCTTATGCCAAAGGATATGCATACCCTAACAATGTACTTATCTTCTTTGCTCCCTTTTGATCTTATAAATATACCATTAAAAGTGTTTTTATATCTGTTTGATAACTGCAAAAATACCTATTTATCCTGCCAGAAATCCAATGGTGTTCCAGGCACTCATGTCTCATTCTAGACATTCTGACAAAGCTACGCTGGTATTTAAGTGAAATGCGTTGATGTCACCAGAGTGTCACGTGAAATCATTTAACCAATGCCCAGTCAACATGACAGCAACAGGGAAGAACACGAAGCAGCAACACGGTGATGACCAACTTTGGAGAGCTGAGACACAGCACAGCTGTCAGCTAAAAACTGGGAGATATAAGCACCTGCCAGATGTGCTGCAAGATATTGATCACCTGGGTGAGCACTGCACCACTGACGGTAATGATTGGGACATGGAACATCCCAATAGAAGTGCGGTAAGATGCAATATAATCATTGCCTAGTGCTGAGTGGAAAGACTTGAGCAATAGCCCGCTCCCCATGTGGACTAATGTGTGGCAGGGTTGAGCTGAGGCTTCAATGACGGCATAATACTGTACCATTTAAATGTGATATGACAGCTCGGCTATCCGCGATATGTTTATACTTCTTATAGTGCAAGTTGTCTGAGCTATTATCTCGCTTGCAACTACAGGAACTGCTGCTTCTGCTAATATTTGTGCTAATATGGCCATTCATTGGAGGAACAGCCAAAATCTACTACATAAATAAACTGCCCGAAATATAGTGGTGGCAGTGGACTAAATCAATAGATGGAATGATTACATACTGTCCAACAGCAGGAAAATAACGTTGTGACCACTAACGAATGACCAATATAACATCTTGCATCTTCCTTTACTGCTGTGCTGTTCACATCCACAGTGAAAGAAGTATATCCTTAAAAGAGAAGTATAAGATTTTTGTTTTCCTCAATTATACTTACGCGGATGCAGCAACGGTTCGATGCCGCATCTGTCCCTTGCCAGCTCTAAGTGTGAGAACTCAGCGATCACATGACCGCTGAGTTCTCACAGCTGCTCTGAGCAGCGAGCAGTGACTGTCAGTCACCGCTCTCTGCTCTGCCACCCCCCAGCCCCCATTCTCACTGGGATTGGCCCGCTGAGAGGCTGAGCCAGCAGCTGCTCCAGACTCGGGGGTGGATCCTGACTCTGAGATCTTTCCCCAGCCTGGATTGGCTGAGTGACATTAGCCGACAGCGAGCTTCAGTCCACTGTCAGCTGGTAATGGGTCAAAGGAGTGCAGAATAAACTACAGAACGAACTCCACTCCTGTGATCCACAGGAGAAGTACAGCCAAAAGAACTTTGGATGCACTTCTCTTTTAACTAAGGAAGCTTGTGGTTGACTGTTAATTAATTGTCTACATAGTGCATGGGAAACCGATCCGATGTGTACTTTACCATGCTGTTAACAATCAGTGAAAGCTGATAACCCATGCAGCAATATTCCTCTCTCTCTCTCTCTCTCTCTCTCTCTCTCTCTCTCTCTCTCTCTGGGTCCCAACAGCCAGGACATACTTTTAGCAGACTCATTAGGTTGTTCCCATACATACTATAATATACTGTAACATCCTCTTTATACTTTTCTGAACTATTAAACCTGCAGGCCTATAGTAAGCTTCAATCAATTCATTGCCATGATGACTTCTGTTTTGCTATAGGCTGTGCAATCTTAATTACTCTGTATCTTAATTGTACTCATAGCCACGTAAAAACAATACAACTTTTGTGAAAGAAAGCCGACATTCAGGACAAAAAATAAGATTCAGTGTATTGAAGCTGCCACACACTAGATTTTGTAGCTTAGCTTAGTCTGAATCATTTACTGTAACCTCAATAAAAAAGCTATTTATTAATGATAATCATTCACTTGTCATGGTTAGACATTCTATGTGGCTGAAACGTATGAGTCTTTCTGATTATTATTCACTAGAAAATACAGTGTATCTATTTTAGGATTTGACATTTGCCAATGAAACAATTTAGAATAGCAAAATGAGTTGAGCGCAGAATTCAAGGATAAGGAAGTTTTTATAACAATTGAGTTGTGTGCGAAGCTAGAGAACAGAGATGGAGGACAATGACTGTCTTGCAATTGTCATCACCTTCCTCGGGTCTTCAATACTTTCTGTGTCACTGACCCAAAACAAGTATGTCAATCAGGACAGTCAGAGAAAAGTCTCAGCTGCTGCTACTCGAAGGGAGGAGAGAGTGCCATGTGCATGCATGAAGCTCGATTGAGCCGGAGCGACCGCTGGGGGCACATTTTTAATGCCCAGCCTGTCCTGCCATTTCAGAAGGACAAAGGGGATCAAGCATCAAGGGATTGTTGCTGATAAGCTATGCATGGCTCTACATATGGAGAGGAAAGGAACTACAATTTTACCGGCTAAGTAGTGGTATGTAATGTGCCAAGGATCCTGTAATGCATGGAGGTTTTTGTGGGAAAAGTTCAGGAAAGGTGATCTAACCCTTTCATTTGTACTTGTGCCAGGAATACAGGTTTACTTAAATTGTAAAAGAAATAGTGACCCTGACAGTTATGCATTCAGTATATAAGAAATAAAGGAAGAGAATATAAGTTTTAAAATATTTAAAAGCTAAAGGATCTAGGATCTGGCTCTGACCAAACCTAATCTCCCTACATTTCATGACTTTACTCCCCTGTAGCAAAACAAGCACCTACCCAAGCTTTTTTTCATTTTACCAATGCTGAAATATGGGCCTCCAGGGGTATCTATTATCTACACCATTTAATATCAACACAGGGTCTTAAAACTTTTGACTAGCTAAAGGAGGATTTTGTTTTGATACCTACAAATGACACATCCTACTGGCCCAATTCCCTACTGCTTATCCACCACCTGTGTACCTCCCCCTAGCCAATGTGATCAAACATAAAGAGCCCCAAAACTGAATCTCAATGTTCTACAATATGTTACTCCTCCTCTCCGCCACTACTCAGTCCATTGGTATTGTAGGAATGACCCTCTGTATGAGTCACAGTTTTCTATGTACCTGACATCTGCTGCAATGTCACAACTTTGGTATGGTTTTTGTTGTCTTCATGTCCTTGCGACCATTACCACGTTACCACTGTGTAACATTCTGTACTTATACTTCAATAAAGTACATACTTTTCAAACAAATAGAAAAAAAACTACAAATTATTTTGCCATGCTTTAGAAGAGCAGTACATAAAAAATCTAGAGTCTGACATTTTAAAAAATGTCTTCCCTATGAGCTTATACAACACCATAAAAGGTGATAGAATTGACATAGGACATTACAGTGCCGAGCCTTTGTCTGTTCAATCCTGTTTTCCATCTATGACATGTTGGAGAGGAGTAGACATAGACACTCAGATTCAAATGATATCTAGGACTTTGTTTAGTTCTAGGAAATTCCTTACCACCAGCCTTTCCTCGTTATTGTGGTAGGCCAAACAGTGCTGCACTAGACCATCTTCATCTACTTGCTCCGGGCAAAATGGGCATGTATACATTACCACTCTGTAAAGAAACAGAGATCATTAGAAGAGAAAAATTAGAAAACTAGTAGAACTTTAGTGATAATACAGTGCGACTACAATATTAGTGCAGAATTGTGCATTAACTGACTAAGCACCATACTATTAAAGTGAATTTCCAATTTTGTTGATGAATAGAAAATGCATTTCTTTTAGGCCAGCTATATACTGCTCTTTCTTTTACTAAGAATTTTTTTTTAGAATAGGAAACAGCAGAGAATCAGTCAAAAACATATGCAATGACCAGCAGGAATATAACATACAAAGGATTCGATGAATAATACAGAATATGTACTGATGAGAAAGCATGAAAATCAACTGTGTACGTAAGTGCCGTATAGGAAGAAAACACAATAAATTTCAGAAATGATAGACATTTAGAGACCAATAACATAATGAACTCTAAGGAAAGATTGTTACTGTATCTGCATACAATACTGCTCTTTCTTATTACAATTCCTGCATTGGGCACTTTTGATTCTGTCAGATCCCAACCATGCTCAGGATAACCAGATAATGTGGGGCTGATTTACTTAAACTGGAAAGTGCAAAATCCGGTGTAGCTCTGCAGAGAAACCACTGATTTTATTGTCAAAGCTTAATTGAACAAACTGAAGTTAGAAGCTGATTGACTACCATGCACAAGTGCACCAGATTCTGCACTCTCCAGTTTTGGTAAATCAACCCCTGTGTGTCTCGGTAGCATAAAGAACATGAAGAACTTCCTACTCCACATCTCTGCATGCCAAGTGCTAGTGTACAAGTCACAAAAACAGTATCCAAGGGTTGTAACCCCTGAGCATTAAAATTCCTTGAGATCCTTCAGGAATTATAGAGTGCTGGAGCTTTGTTTTAGTGAGTGGCATTTTGCAACAGGAGCCATATTTTTCTATGCACCCCGGTGTATGCATTAAAGGTGAGACGACTAACATTTTCCTTATTTTATTTATGTCAGTAAATAAGGAACGCCCTAGAAAGTAGAGGTTACACAATGCTGGCCGAGACACAGAAATCTATTTCTGCACACTATGGTGACTGGTTAATATATTTTCTTCATGCCATCTTAGTAAACCTGTAACCTCTGTTAACCCTTTACATCAAGCAATGATAAAATCATTCTGGAATTCAAAGCATGCATACCCAAACTGCAATCTGTTCAGCATGCTTTGATGTCCCAAACTATTTTTCCATTGCTGCATTGTGTGTGGGAATATATATATATTTTTTGGTAGAATGTTTAAAGAAACATCCTGCATAGTTTTTCTTATTATTCACATAACAAATGTTATTTATAAGCTAATTTGGAACAAATATCTATTCTCTGCTGCAGATGTCAATTATGTGTAGTTTTACTTTAGGCTGAACTCCAGGCAAAGTTAAAAAAAAGAATTAAATTTGTATGGGAGTTGTTTTACCTGCCTAAGGATTAGTATATCTGTTCATCCAGTCCTGAGATCTACACAGAGCTTACCACACAGCACAGCCCTGTCTAGCAGTACAGAAGGTGTTATTTTCCTTTGTTGCAGTTAGGTAACACTGCCTTTCCTTCAGTCTATGCCTGGACAGTGTAGAAGAAGCATCAGATTGATGAGCTCATCTCTCTGTCACTCTGCTCTCTCCTTCTATCAGCATGTTCCTTACATGGAATATTGCCTTGTACATCCTTGGATGATTGAAATGCTCTACTCTATTCACTAAACTAAGTTTAATTCCCATACTCCATTGGTAAATCAACATCAATGCTATTTTGTGATGCTGTCTGTGATACAATGCATCCAATTCACTTAAATGTAAGTTGAAGTTCAATGAGGTAAAGTGGTCCTGGATCCAATTTACTAAGTCTTCGGTCATACTGAATCCACCTTTGAAATAGTGCAACCTCACTTGGAGTTGCACGATTTCAAAATCGGATGTCAGTGTGACTTCAGGTATGACTTGGAAGACATCTGTATGACTTCATGCACAGATGTCAATGCAAGTCGCACCTGAACTTTGCAAAAAGTAGTGCAAGAAATACTTTCAAACTTGGTGAGACTCCGACAGAATCAAAGTTGCACTGATTTGAAACAAGTCGCACCAGTGTGACCGGGGACTCAAGCATGAAGTGAAGCTGTTTCGCTTTACCTAAGATTGGTAAATCAGGCCCAGGTGGACTTCACTTGCTCCTTAACTATTTGCCCTCCAGAGGATATACCCCCCCCCCCCTTCCTGACCAGGCCATTTTTTTGCGATACAGCGTTGCAGTATTTTAACTGACAATTGCACGGTCATGCAATGCTGTATATAAATGAAATTTATGTCCTTTTTTTTACCACAAATAGATCGTTCTTTTGGTGGTATTTGATCACCTGTGCATTTTTTATTTTTTGCGCTATGAACAAAAAAAGACCAACAATTTTTTTTAAAAAAACAGTTTTTGACTTTTTGCTATAAAACATATCCAGTAAAAAAAAAAAAAATCCCAATACATGTAAATTAATTGGTTTATGTGAAAGTTATAGTGTCTACAAATGGCAGTATATATACTGTAATTTGTATGTATATATATATATATATATATATATATATATATATATATATTATTTATTTATTTTTTTTTCCCTTTTAATACTAGTAATGGTGGCGATCAGCGACTTATAGCAGGACTGCGCGGCGGGCATTCTGACACTGGGTGGGAACTGACTTACTGCCACTAACATCCCAATGACACTATCAGTGCTAATAAAAATAAAAAGCACTTGACACTGTACTGACACTGGGTAGAAAGGGGTTAACATCTGGGGCAATCAAAGGGTTAACTGTGTGCTGTTTTACATGATGTGCTGTGTGTGATTTACTAGGGAAACATGCTGCTTTGCATTTCTCTGCTGTGCAGAAATAAAAAGCAGCATATCCTTGCGGGCAGGAGAGAGACCTGTGTTGTTTACACACAGGTCTCTCCCCTGTCAGCTTTCCCCGATGATCGCTGGGTGCGGGGAATCTCCAGCCGGGACCCAGTGATTGACATCCCTAACCACCGGAAATACAAATTTCCACACACTTGATTTTGTGCAGCCCTGCCACTTTGTAGCAGTAGTAGTTTTACTGGTTGTCACAGTGGTCATATGATCAGGAGCCAGTCCTGCCAGTCCCCAATCATTACAAGAGACTGGGAGCTGTCTTTGACAGCTCGGTCACTGTGCTGTGAATGCACACTGTGCACACTCTCAGCACAGAAACCTTTAGACACCCATGGACAAATATGTGGGGCAGCAAGGAGTGTAGGCTTTAACATGGCAGCAAGAGGTAAAAGGAAATGCACATAAATCCACCAATGATATTTATTCATAAGCACTTTCATTCATAAGTATATTCATAAGCACTGACGTGACATACCTGCATGGTGCTTTTCCCAGCTCTACCAGAGGGCCGTATTTTGTAATGTACTGCTGACATATATTCATGTGTGCTCTCATTTCACTCAGGCAAATCTAAAAATAAAAATTTATAATTAGTTAAGTACGAAATAGAAAGCATATTTCACAGCACAACTGTTTTTTTTGATTTGGGTCAAAAGGAAAAGAAAAAAATATAGACATGAAAGAATTAAGTAAAGAAAGCTATTTATTTTTTGTCCGTTTTCCTTTTATTTCTGTATTAGTCATGTGTATTCACAAAGGGGCTGATTTACTAAAACTGGAACACTCTAAAACTTGTGCAGCTGTACATGGTAGCCAATCAACTTCTAACTTCAGCTTGTTCAATTGAGTTTTTGCAATAAAACTTGGAAGCTGATTGGTTTCTATTCACAGTTGCGCCAGATTTTTTTGCACTCTCCAATGTTAGTAAATCAACCCCAAAGTGTCAACAATGCTGTTTTCTGTGCTAGAAGTGAATAGAGAAAATATAAAGTCATTTCTTTTAAAAAGGGACAAACAAGAATAGGGCTAAATGGTTAGCACCTTCCGCCTGGCAGTACTAGGGTCGAATCCCAACAATGGCACCACCTGCATGGAGTTTGCATGTTCTCCCTGTGCCTGCATAGTTTCCTCTGGGTACTCTGGTTTCCTCCCACACTCCAAAGACATGCTGGTAGGTTAATTGGCTCCTGTCTAAATTAGCTTTAGTATGTGTATGTATGAATGCAAGTTAGGGACCTTAGATTGTACACCCCTTGAGGGTTAGGGACTGATGTGAATGTACAATAAATATGTAAAGTGCTGCGTAAATTGACGGCACTATACAAGTACCTTAAATAAATAATAATATATGTTATTAAATACATATTCTCCTTCTTTTCCTTGTGGAAAAAACTTTATCCTCCTTACATTAGGCCACCCTCTGCACTGCAAGGGTTAACTGCTCATTTTGCCTAGGGAATGAGGAATAAGTAAATATATTTTACTGTCCAACACCCTAAGATGTGGCCAGGGCCTAGGGTGGCCCCATGTACAATGCAGACCAGTCAGGCAGTGAAGTGGCTTTGAGGGACCAGTCTTACAAATAAAGGAAGCCTGCAGAAGTGAGGAATAAGGTAAATATATATATTTTTTATCCAACCACTGTAAGTACCCAAATTCGACTTTGGTATCAGCCTCTTGGAATCCATTATACATTGGTACTTCGGACTGAAAGAGGTAGGGGCAAGACTGGGAGTCAATCAGTAGTAATGCATAAAATTTCACTAACAAAGAACATGCTGATATGAGGAGAGAGCAGAGTGAAAAAGAAAGAAGCTGATCGGTCTATTGAGGCTCTTTCACTGTTCTTTTAGCAGGCTAGTGCTGGTTGGGGGTGGGGGACCGTATCCCATCTACAATCTATTACAGGAACAGAAAGGTGGTGCCATCTGCCCAACTGTGACGAGAAAATATAAGCCTCAGGAATAGATGGACAAAAATACAATTCCTTCAGCAGGTAAAACAGCCTCCCTATATGTAGTTTAATTGCGTATTTCACTGTTTGTCCAGAGTCAAGACTTTAGATGTATTTCCACTTTAGCAGTCAAATTTGAGAAAACCCCAATATATACACGCATGCCTAATTTTTAAAAGATATTTTTTACTTTTTTAGATGTTTCTCAGGAGAAGGTTTTTTGAACAATATTAGAGTGAGCCTGTCCTAAGCCTGTCCTCATTAACATACAGTGCAAGAACCAAAGCCTCTAAACCTTTAATTTATACCTTTTAGTTGTAATTGATAATGCACAATATCAATAGGGTTAATTAAGGCAAACACAGCTGCCCATTCCCTTCATTAAAAAAGGGAAATATGTAGGATTTTTTCTTGCTAAAGGGTGCAGAATAGAAAAACAAAGGTAAGCTGCAATTTTTCATTTTTTTTTCTTAAGTTATGTAATGTGAATGGGGACATACAACAAATATAAAGTAGGTAATATCTAGTAGTTGAAATAGTATGCCACACCAAAGGCAGCCCAGTAAAGAAGCAGCTTCAGCCTGTCTCGTCCCATGCTACCCACGTCTAACAGATTTCACCCTCTCACATTAAGCCCTGTGGGAGGGTGAAATGCATTAAAGGGGCGTGGCCTGGGGGGGAGACAGGCTGAAGACGGTTTTTATATTTGTACTGGGCAGCCTTTGGTGAGCGGCATCCTATTTTCAATACTAGGCATTGCATGCTGAGCTGGTACGAGTTTTTACTAGATGCACCTATCAGCGGGAGCAGTCACCAATGATTTTAAGCTGGTGCTTGGAGCGGCACTCTATGAGGTTTTAGAAAGGTCCCAAATATAAAGTAGGTATTATTCCAATTTGGCTGCAGAAGTGGAAATATACTTTAATAACCAAAATAGCCTACATCCAGGAGAGGGTGTTAGGCTCAACTCATCCAGATATGTCCTTTCATGCTGGCTACACATGCAAGTTACTTTTTACCTGTCAAAGAACAGCAACACCAAAACGGTTTTGTTGGATTGTGAAAAGAATAGTAGAAAGAATAAATAAGTGAACATTACTAATATTTCATATCTTTTTCTTACAATACCAATTTCCTTTGGCAATCTTTTCCAACTTTTTGTGTACGCTATGAAATTATTTTATAATAACACATTTTTTTTCCAGAACAGGTCGGTGTATGGATGATTTTACCTTTTCCTTGCACTCTTCACAATTCTGAAAAACAGTCTTCATCTTCTTTATGATGTCCACAGCAAGTGTTCCTTCAGATGGCAAATGAGTGCGGCAATATGGACAGGCATACCCATTATTCCTCAAACTTGCTTTAATACAGCTGTGACAAAACCTACAAGACAGGAAATAAAAAGAGTGGTTTTTTGCAGATCCTAAATGAGCACACCTGTGAGTCTATCAGAAATTCTGGAAAATGTAATGCTAGTAGTGTCTTGTTAATGTAGTATTTATTGGGCTTTTACATATAATAATATGGTAGGAATAAACATAAGTAGCTAGATTTTGAGAGGTTTGTAGCCATCATGTATAGATTTGCACCATGTAAGGATGATTAGCATTAACTTTGGGTGAATGAGCCAAGAAGAAGGGGAGCATTAGGCAAGAGAGGCCAAGTGCCCTATGTCTGCAAGACTAATGAAAAAAATGGAGTAGTTATGGTTCACAGAGATGATCTCTATGATTCAGGGGACAACCATTCAATAAGAATTAGGACAGAGAAACGAGTCTCCTTCTACCCAATGGCTTCCCTTCCCCAGGGATATAGCACCAAAAAAGTGAAGAGGTAAGAGCACATGAGAAATCATTGTTGTATCCTATTTGTTATTCTGAAGGCATATCTGGAAATAAATAAGTACTGTATATAAAGAGAAGAGATACTACCGAAAACAGAATTAGAAGCGAATATTCCCTTTACGGAATATTACTTTATAAAGATGATCATATTGCACAAATTAGAAGATTAGAAAACATTAAAAGTGATTCTAAAGGCTTATTTTTTTTAAATAACAAGATTGCAGAGAATGCTTGAAGGTAAAAAGCCTTGAGCCTTTACAACCACTTTAAAGTGCACAACACGGCTATCACTGCCTAAAAACTGTATCCAGTATCCTTAAATTGGCATTTTCATACAAAATTCATTTGTTTGAGAAAAAATTTCAAAAATTAACGCTGATTTGACCCCACTAATGATTAGAAAATCAAATGAATGTTCCTAAAACAATTTTCCCTAAAATATTCAGAACTAATACCATGAGAACAAAAATAATGGACCATTATAGTCCACTGTAGCCTTTTAGGCCAGCTAGATATATAGACTCTCAGCTGGTTCAGCAGAAATTTGATCCATCCATGGGTACAATCAAGTGATCAACTTGGGTACAACCAGCCTGTTGAAATTTTTAAATGTGATTACATCCGGCGGCTATAGCTGTTAGTAGTGATCATTGTGTTCTGTTGGCCAGGAAGGGATTCCCCCTTCAACACTGACTATGTTGATGGGGAAATCCAGCAATTTTTTTTCCTTCCACCCATGGTGAAAGGAAAGAAAATCAATTTATCTTTGGTGAAATCTTAGTGTGAACTGTGTAGGCAAAGCTAGAAAACATTCTAACAAGGCTGCCCAACTGGACAAAACATAGCCAAGCCTTCACATCTACTGTGAACCTACACAGTCCATTGAAAGTAAAGCCGGTCATAGATGGATTGAATCTCAGCCGGTTCAGCAGGGACCGGCCGAGATTCGATCCATCTATGTGCACAATGATTGTACCAAAGGCTATCAGATTTTTACCACTCAATTACTGCCCTCGGTTATTGCAGCTAGCAGTAGTCGTTGTATTCCTTTGGCCGAGAAGGCTTCCCCTCTTTTCCTCTGGCACAATAGTGTTTCAGGAGGCATTCCCCCATCAGCACTGACTGTTGATGGGGGAATCAAGCAATTTTCTTTCCTTCTGTGGTGAAAGGAAAGCAAATACTGTAGATTCATCTATGGCTTATCTAAACACCAAATAATACCCATTTACATAATCTCTTGCAAGATCACACCTATCAGAGATCTGCCTGATTTTGCTCTCTACTTTGTCTACCTTCTTGTTAAGTCCTGCACCAGCCACTTCACTGGTGAACGCCATGCACTCACTGACTTAACAATACACTTTAAAACATAATCATGGTCTATAGACTCACCATTGCCAACCTCAAATATAACAATCCTGTTTTTCACTGAAAGCAAGCAGCCCCTATGGACAGTCTTGTGTATAGGTTGCAAGGGCAAGGTCTGCTCTGACTTTTCCTTTGTCATGATTTTTTTGTTTTGTTTCCTATACATTCTGACCTATTTGTACAGTTGGCAGATGACAACTACACACCTTTGTACTCATATCTACAAATAGATGGAACCTAATTCTCTTTTACCACTAACTTTGGATCTATATTGGCAATAACATCTACAACGTACAGCAGTTTTATCTGCAGGTAACATGCCATATACCATACCATATACATTGACAAAAAAAAAAAAAAAAAACTATGAAAATTACCTTTAAAAGGAAACATGACAAATACTTAAATAGTTAGACACAAGTGTTCACAACCCATATCTTGTTTTCACAGCTGGTAGATAATTCTATTTTCCTTACTATGTCCTATTGGTCATTTTATAGAGGAGATAGAGACAGTCTACAGTTGTTGTCCATTGCATTGCCATATTAGCTTTACTTAATGTTCTGATAAAAGTTAATAATTACACAGGAGAGTACTGCTTACCCGGTTAGTTTTAAAGTTCACAGCCTCAGCTGACCTGTACAGAAAATCAATCACATATGCCTAACATATCACTATACTGGACATAAATATCTTAACAGATTTAAGTATAATGTGGCCTATGTACATACATTGCCAACTGTATGCCCTGAGATAATCTGCCTCCACTGATGTTTTCCACCAGACCAGACACAAGTTACACCTCTAGTATCATGTGTTCATACACAGCAAAACGAAAATGAAAACATGCCTTATATTATCTTTAAAAAAAACTGCAAAGGAACATGATCTGATAATTTCTGAAGGATTTCCACTGTTGCCGTACAAATAAAGCTAATAGTTTTAAAGAATCAGAGTATCTTCTATTAAAGTATGCATATACAGTATTAAGATACCTTTTACAAATTTTTTGACAGAGTATGGGAGGGTTAAAAACTATCAGGGGCATTTTTTTGCAATCTCTGTTTCATTAGGGAGATCTCCCTTCACTTCCTGTTCTGTATACTCAATAGGAATGTGAAGTAATTCCCCATCCAGTTGTCACAGGAACAAGTATCCCCATTGGAAGATTTCCTCTCTATTCTGGTGGCAATGAAAAATTTTGGATTTGCACTTTCATTCCCAGTGACATTGATGATCAGGAGAGTAAGAGGATGAAAACTTCCTAATGGGAACAGATAGCAATAAAAAAAAAGTATTGTGACCCCCACCACTGCAACCCCATGGGCACACATGGGTAGTGGGTCTACATGAAGGTCCACCCATCCTGCCACTGCATATATGCCAGGGTGAGTATAAAGTATAACTAAAGGCAAACCTTTTTTTAAGTTTTGGATATAGTGGAAATGGATTAGAACACCTGTCAGGTTTTTATTGCTACCTGAGTTCCCATTAAGGAGATTCACCCTCTCTATCTGTCATGAATTGTTATCACTTATAGTGAAGTTCCATCCAGTTTTGTGTTTATTAAAGGTCAGCAGCTACAAAAACTGTAGCAGCTGACCTTTAATAAACACACACTTACCTGTCCTGGGGTCCAGCAATTTACTCACCCGTGCTGTCCCTTCTCCCCTTCTCTCCTCCACGGCGCCGGCATCTCAACTGTGGGCACCAGGCTGTGACAGCTTGCGGGTTCACAGTCTGGTGCCCAAGGCACATGCGCGAGTCACACTGAGCCTCCTAGTTGGTCCGGCAGTATCCTGGGACCTGTGAAAGTTCCCAGGAGACTGCAGGAGGGAGGAGGGGGCTGAACATCCGTCAAAACCAGGTACCTGTTCCCCCCTTCCCCCCCAAAAGGTGCCAAATATGGCAGTGGAGGGGGAGGCAAACAAGCAGAGCTTTCGCTTTTGAGTGGAACTCCGCTTTAAGGTGAGAGTGAAAGAAAATCCCAAATTGTGGGTTGTCCCCAGAATACAGGTGAAATCTTCTAATAGGGACACTAGTTTGAGTGACAACCAGGGATTCCTTCAATCGGTTCCTAATTTGGCTATAGGACAGGAAATGAAGATAAAGCTCCCCAATGGGATATAGATGGTGATCACCTCCCCCCCCGCCCTTACTTTAAAAAAAAAAAAATTAAGAATGCACCAATATATCGGCAGATGAAACATATCGGCCGAAAATAGTGTGATCTGCATTTTTTAGGAAAAATCTCATAGACTTTCACGTAAAAACACCCCCTAGTGACTTCAATGCAAAAATGCGTCTCAGACTTTCATGCAAAGTCATGTCCTCATTGACGTCAATGGAAAAACGCCTCCTAGTACCTTCAATGCATAATTGCATCTCATAGACTTTCACGCAAAGTCGTGTTCTCATTGACTTCAATGCAAAAACGCTCCCTAGTGACTTCAATGCAAAATGGCATCTCATAGACTTTCATGCAAGGTCGCGTCCCCATTGACTTCAATGCAAAACGCCCCCTAGAGACTTCAATGCAAAATTTACAGTCACATAAACATAAAAGAAAAATTTAAAAACTGCGTTTCAGTTTTTTCAGCCAAGGGCATCCTAAATTTTCGGTTTCCTTACCAGAAATTTCATTTCAGTGCACCACTAAAAATTTTTTACTTTATTTATAGTTTAATGTTAATGGTGGCAATTTGTTCTCTGGCTCTTTATAAGAGTGCACTGGCTGTGCTGGACTGACCAGCTCCTGAATACTATATTATTCTGTCCACTCTGCCATAGCCCATTCCTGATCCCTGGTTCCTGAGACATTCCTGATCATTTTATTTATGTATGAATGTCGTAAGTTATATATGTATGTTATCTACATTCCTAGATCTCATAGGTAGATACATTGGGTTAGAACCTTTCATACACAGACATACTTTAGTATATAAAAAAAACAAAAACCGGCAGGTTTCAGTGTCATATAGCTCTGCACACACTAATAGTATCTACAGAAAAATGCGGCATCTCAGACTCTGGGGTCTGGGAAACGACAGGTCATTTCTAACCTCTGCTTCACAACTGCCTGTTAAATATTTCCGAGCACAATACTCTCATCCAGGATGTTGTTTGCATTGTAATCCATTTCACTTTATGTCTTAAAGAGTTTAAACCAAACATTGCTGGAAGTTTATACTGCCCATGAGCTGATTTCTAGCTGGGATTTACGTCTTACAGTTTAACCAATCTTCTGGGGGATCCCCACATTGGGAAGGATAGGCACTGTAATCACAAGAATGTTTTTGTTCTCTACTATTTGCATTTAAAAACCCAACAGACGTACAGAAATAGGATGAGATCATTTTGGGCACATGCCAAAACTGACAGGGAATAAATACAAACTTCCAACAACTACGCGATTGGGTTCCAACGTCTAGTATTAATATTGCTGGTGACTTCCCAGCTCTCCATGTACTATACAAAGTATAGGTCCATATATTAAACTGGATCTGGAACAACATGAATTATACCAGGGGTCTCCAAACTGTGGCCCAAGGGCTGGATGTGGCCCTTTGCTATCCTTTATCCGGCCCTTGGGGCACTATTCCTCCCACTGAGACCAACAATGGGGCAGTACTTATTCCATTGAAACCAATAATGGGGCACTATTCTTCCCACTAATACCAATGATGGGGCACTACTCCTACTGACCATTAACCCTGCGGCCATGTTTGTTCACACTGATGATGGGGCCAGTACATTTTCTATCCTCGCTGACCATAATCTGGCCCTTCTAAAATCTAAAGGACCGTATACTGGCCCTTTGTTTGAAAAGTTTGGAGACCTCTTATTTATACCAATAATTAACACAAAGCCAGGATAAAAACCGATGAGAAATACAACTAGTGTTGAGCATAGAAAGTAAGGAAAGGCACCAGAGGGTGAAAGGTAGAGATATTCTGAGTTTTTTGTTCTGATTTTACTTTAACCAGCTCCCGCCAGCTATATGCCAGGTGGACCTTAATGCAGAGCCACCACACATAGGCATCCATGGGGAACCTTTCTTCTGTAATGAAAGCATGTGACCAAGCTGTTCCGAATGTGAGCTTCCAATCATGTGACCGTTGTGCTAGCTAATCACAGTGGTCAGATGAACCTTGCCTCTGCCTCCCAATGTCAAAAGGCTAGCAGATAGCAGCAAGGGGTTAAAGAACCCTGTTGACAGACCATTAAACATTCAGCAACAATCTTCCCTTAAGATTATATATGCATTTACATAGTTTTGCCATCTTATCCACCTCCCTTATGTAACCATTTAAAAGCCTTGAGACCTCTGCTGGGCACCACCATCTTGGATGTAATTTCAGCATCCCCAGCAGACTCGGAGCTGTCATTCAAGTGACACTCTATAGAATTCCCCTTCCTGCATCCCATGGTGGCTCCATAAAAATGTTTGTGGGGAAGTGAGGGGAGTGGCGGAGGAGTTGGGCCAGCATAGACAATAATTAAATACTTCAGAATAGGAGAGAGTGTGCAAGGAGAGAGGGGCTGTGCAAGAGAAGTGACTCAGATTACCTAGCAAGTTCAATGGCACATTGCATGGGAATTAAAAATGTTTGAAAAGGAAGAATGTTGCAAGTAAGAGTTTAAAAATACTTAATTTTTCTGTGCTTTTACCTGCACTTTTTTAATTTGGTGATCGGGCCTCTTTAAGAGTACTACTACAACTGCTACTACTACCAGTTATGTCTATTACTTAGTTCCTCCACAATCTGCATAACCTGTGAAACCAGAAGTACTGTAAATGAAGAAATAAATAACAGGTCAAAGTACTGACACTCACCTTCAAATACTACAACAAATAAGAGTGGACATTTCACCATAGCAACCAGAATTCAGCTGTCATTGTCTGTCTGATTGCTATGATAAACCTTTATTATCCACTTCACTGCTATTGGAAATGTAACTCCATTGTTCCCTTACTGATTTCACATCTAGAACAGTCAAAACCATACATATCGCAGCAGAAACAGGCAGTAACTGTTTTAAAGAATATGTAAACCCAACATTTCATATTCCTGATATGTGCCTGCTGTACCATGTACTTGTATGAAAAAGTATACTGTTTTCTTTGTCTTACTTCCTTTGTATGATGTTCGTGTCAGTCTCTCTGCTTTCCTATTAGAACTGACCACAATAAGCACGAGAGCACAGCGTGGTCAGTTTTCTAGCTATGCTGGGAACTCAGTCTGCTCTCCTCCAATGATCAGACTTGTCCTGACACCCCCCGCCCAATGCACAGCCATTTACTGTGCATTGCACTGAGAAAGGTTTCCACCATCTCATGCATCAGCAGCTATTCTATACATGCAATGCCCATCCGAAAGTCATGTTAAGGCTACATTCACACTAGCCCAGATTTACAGTGCAGGCTAATGCAGTGTTGGCTCCAACAGGAAGCAATGCAATGTGTGTTTCAGCACATCACACTGCTAGGGTTTTTTTCCTCAAATTAATTTTTTCTATGTTTTTTATCTTTCTTAAATTTATTTGAGAAAGTGTCAGATAGGGGTTTATTTACTAAAGCTGGAGAGTGTAAAATCAGGCTCACTTCTGCATAGAAACCATTCAGCCTCCAGGTTTTATTGAACAAGCTGAGGTTAGAAGCAGGGCCCATGCTTCAGCTACGCAAACCAGGCAGCCGCCTAGGGCGCACTGCCACCTAGAGGCACCTGGGAGCAGCACAGCCCAGCATTTTCTCTCTCTGACCTGTGGACCTTTTGTATGAATTCTTCATTTCTCTGCAGAGTCCCCCTCTCCTCATACACAGGGAATGATGAGGGAATGATGGTATCTATACGCACAATTGTCTCACAGCCTGTCCACACACAGATATAGTAGATATATAGAACAGTGCGCCCTAGGCAATATTCCATATAGCAGTGAAGTGTTGGCTCCCCCTAGGATGTGAAGTGATGACATGAGCACAGGACCCCGGACAGTCAGTAGTCTCTGATCAGAGGATCGGTATGTACATCTATGGTACACACAATGGCACACACGACCCTCCAGCTGAAACAGGGAGCTGGCTCATGCCCGAATGGGGCATGTCCAGCACTGGCTCCACATTCTTCTACACAACTGGAGCCAATCAATAGGCAGGGGTGTGCTCTAGTTGCAGAGGGATAATTAAAACTTAAAGCTGGCCATACATGGGTCGAATTCTGAAAGAACTTTCTTTCAAAAATCATTTCTAAGAAATTTTGTTCGAATTTCGCACCATTAGTGGGCCACAGCAACGGCCGATTTTCGAGTCCCCATCAAATTAGAGTGATCGAGCATGTTGGAATTTTTTTGAAAAATGAACTAATTTCCAATTAATGATGGGAGAATCACAAGAGAAATGTAACTGAAAAAGAAATAAGGATGAGCTGTGACCTGGACGGAAAAGAAAATTCTTGGCCACGAAAATTCTTTTCTGTAGCAACATGAGGTCAAATTAAAGGCTTGGTTGGTCGAATTTTGAAATTAATGGTAGCACCATCAAATTACAAAATTTCTGATTTTCTAAAGAAAATTTGTTTGGAATTCGACCCACGTATGGCTTGCAGTAGAAATAAGGAAAAAGTGAACACCCATCTCTGGGGAAAGGAAAAATCATCCCTTGCTCCGTACTGCAAGGGTAAATGCTCATTTCGGTCTAAGGGCTCACAAAAAAGCAGTTTTACTTAGGAGGT